TACGGGGTCAATGTTTTGTCCGTTGGAACCTAGTGGTAGTAGTACACCGGTACTAGGGGGTCAGTGTATAAATGTCACTCGCTTTCACGCATCTCGAACGATGGCCCGTAAATTTGCTCTGCAAACAGTGGGAATCAGTTCATGGAATGAATTTCAACCATTTTTTCAACAAGTCGGTTGAAATTTATAATTTATGCGAACGCACCGGATTTCATACAAACTGGACAAATGTATTTATATTTTGGACATATTTTAATTAAAAAGGTAAAACTATGTAGACGTCCTGCCACACGGAGTTCCGTTCCCACAACACGGATACACTATACAAGTCTACGGCCTGTCGCGGTGGATCTTCTTGTCTTCCCATGTCCTGCAGCCCACTCATCGGAGTGTCGGGAGCCCCGGAGCTATATTATTTCCCCGTATCTTTCCTATGTCCGGTTGCGCCACTCATCGGAGCGGCAAAGGGGGTGCTTCAGCCGGAGGGGAAGGAAGGGCTCCTTCGCTTTCATTAACACCAGGCGGGGGTCAACGATGGTCTGCGCTAAAGAACCGGGAAGTCACCGGCTGTGCAAGCGGTGACACGCCGGCGGTGGCTTTCCTGGGACCCAAGCGACGGGAGCCTCCCGTGTTCTACTTTCCCTCGATGTTGGCGGTGGACGCGGACGCCCTGGCCTTCGGCTCGTCGATCTTCGCGTAGCCGACTTCTTTCTCCACCGACCAGGCGCGGTTCCGGCAATGTTGACGGCAGATGGCCTTGTCCATGGCAGTCACGATGCCCGTTCCGCCGTGCTCCCCCATGTGCCTTCCTGGAGCAATTAGCCACTCCTCCGCGAGCTGGCTTGGAGTGGCGAATTGTTGAACCACGTGCCTATTTGGGACACCAACGTGCTTCGTCGGACTAGGCGAGGGAGATGGAGCGGTGAGTTGCATGGCTCGTATCCGGCAGGCTCGGCGGGCCCCCAGCCGGCTTTCATGCCGGTGAACTCCTCTTTCTGCTCGTCGGGTGTCATGGAGATTATGGAGAAAATTGTGCGAGGAGGAGATGGAAGCACAGGTTTGGCGTGATTTTTACCCGGCGCCTAGTATCATTTAAATAGCGGGCGGACGGGGAGGAGCTTGCCCGACGTTTTGTTTAATGCCGACCCGTTTGTGAACGAACATGTGACCGGAGTAGTTTTCTTGGCTTCCACGCGGGATTAAGTGAGGCGTTTGAATGCGACAAGGAAGCATGTTCAGCCGGGCGTGTTGTGGGCGGCGCCCTCGGCCGGCGGGCTGCTTGAGTGACGGAGGCAGTGAGATCCGCCCTAAGTCGGCTTCAATGTGAAGCAACTGCTCTACATCGACATGAATGTGGGCAGCTGGTGCTGGGCCGAAACGCGCGCGGGTAAGGGAGAAGGGGTTTGGACTGGTTGGGGTGGTCAGAAGCGGGCGTGGGTGCTGTGTGAACGCCCGTAAAGCCCTCGCGTTTGTCTTCAGTTTGCGGGAAAATGTACACCCTGATCATTTTACGGACCGATACATGCGTGTGTTGGATGGCACAACACGTTCGGACCGTGTGGTGCAAACGGGTGCATGCGGTTTGAGGTCGGCGTTGGTTGGAGACGATCTTTCTTTCGTTCGAGGACCTCATCCACTGCTGATCTTTCTTTCGCGGCCCCGTCCATGTCATGCTCTTGTCGACCGGGTATTCGTTTATTCGTCCTCCTAGCCGCGATCGCCACGAGAGAGCGCTGAGTGGCGAGTCAGTGCTGTGCACCGTTATCCGTTCGTACGTACCCCGCGACCTCGTGCGTGCGTGCGTGCTGGCCTCGCTCGAAAGATCGCTATAGCTTTGCTTTGAAGAAAAAAACGTTGCGGTGTCAGCGACGTCTCCCGGCCGTCGGCGTAGGGACGCCCGAGCCCGACAGTGCCGTTGGTGCCACTGGGCGCCGCTCCCTACCTCGCATGCGCTCTGTTTTAAAAACGGCTACTCGCGCGCCTCCGGTGTGATGCGATGCGATGCGTCCGGATGGATGATGGGCGGTTTGTTTATGGCGGGGCTCACGCGTCATTCGGTGGCAGTACCAACGCCTCGCCGGGACGCGCTTCCAACGCATCCCCGATCCCGCGCCCATTTTAAATACCGCCACCACCTCCTGCTCCTGCCTGCCTCAGCCTTCAGGGTCACGCCATTCGCGGGTAGGCCCGTGGAGTGCCCTTAAATTCCGTGGACGCCCCCCGCTTTCCATGGGAGAAAGTAAAAAAAAAAAAACCATAGCCAAACAATTTGGTGGGAAATTCAACTAGATTTGTATAGTCTTTTAGAAACACAGGACACAGAAGCCCATATATACACACACGCCCATTCCTGTGAATGCGCGCATATCTTATTCCTACGAGCATCTCCGATAGACTTAACCGGCAGATCTTCATATTGACGAGATTGTTACGAACACCTCGTCGTTAAGGGGCGTGTCATACTGCTAGACGACTTGAACCCTGTGGCAGGTATCACGACAACGACACATGGACATCTCAGCTAAGCTCAGTTTGCAGCGAGGTTTGCGAAATTGTAAGCCAAGTAAATGGAATAACAGTTTCCCTTCAGTAAGATCAGCTCAAGTATTACGAAACACGACGGACAAACCAGCGACTCTGTGTCTAGATACTTTCCTATATTTGTTTAGCCTTTTTTTGTTCACGATGTAATGATTATTTAAGTTTAATATAAACCAGCCATGTTGTCTTTTTCCCTAAAAAGGTATTAGGAAACACCAAATGGATCGACCTAGTTGATAGGTTGGGATGTCGGCGGTCTAGGTCGAATCTTCCCCTCTGGCAAACATCGGAGGAATTGCGGGGAAAGAAAGCCGATGGTCAAAGTGAACGTCGATACTTTCGCAACATGTCGATCTTTAGAATGTAGCTGGAGTGTAAGTTTCGAACACTGCCGAGAGAATTGAATGAAGTTGCACATGATGTAGCTAGACCGTTATGGTCATATAATTCACATGTAACTGAATAAAATCCACCATGATGGCTTTCCTAAGAAGAAAAAAGATATGTTCGATTTGAGGCATACCAAGGTCGAGGATGAGGGGTTGCTTCGTGCTTATGATAGTCTTGAACCCCAGTGTTTCGAGGCAACATGAGTAACAAGATTTGAGTACTCAACTCGTTTCGACGCGCTCTTTTCTGTAGAAATGTTTCGAGAAACCCGCAGTGGCCACATTAATGTTGCGATTCAATAGTTAACCGTTTATCTATTTACATTATGTATGTGTTACGAGTGTGAATTTGCCGTTCTAGTAAAAGAAGATGTTTCATCCATTACGAGTAAAACATGTAGAGAATTTATCGATCCTGAAGCTCCACAAACAACTGCTCCAGTCTTCATGAGTAGGCTTTATGTGAATACGTATGTGTGGTCGTGTGCTATGTACATCCATGTTTGCACTAACGTTGCAAGTGGCTTTGGATGTGTTTTCATATATACTATGTATCTTTGTGTGAATTGAGCTAGATTATTATTTTTCTCCCTCAAGAAGTTGAAACATGGCTACTCGAGTTCAAGTTGCATGGGTCTCCTACTTTCATGGATTTAAATGGTGATTCTGTCGATCATAAGATTTAACGACTTAGAGTCTCGGACTCTCGAAAGTGTTCATAGAGGCATGATACGTTGAAAATCCCAACGGGAATTGGAGCATGTCATTCATAAATGTTGAGTGTGCCTGTGTATTTGTGAGAATGCACTCGTGTACTCTATGTTTTAAAAAGGTTTTAATAGTGCCCCCTTGATATAAGATACAGGAACATGAAAAACAACATAGTGATATGTCATGTTTGATATTACATGATTAACATGCGTGTTTGATAGTGCACAGAAAAACATATGCTTCATCATACTTAGTAGGTCGAATTTTTTTTTATTAAAACTAGTACAAATGAATCCCAAGGTTATAATCATACGATTCAAACAATCCTTATAAGGAAAAATCGTAGGATCAGATCCTCCAAAAAAAAATTACCAGCTTGTATGTTGATCGAGTTGAACGTATGGGGCACTAGCCGCCGTCTCCTCCTCCTCCAAAAAAGCTAGGGTTTGTGCCTCTCGCTGGCGCCGCCACAGGTCCGCCTCGTCTTCGGTGGCCCTAGGGCCATGGGGGCGCAGTGGATCCTGGCAATGGCCGGCGGGGGGCTCCGTTGTTAGTTGTTTTTTTGAGTTTTGTTAGGGTTTGTGTCCTACTCAGGAAAGACGAGACGACGGCGGCGGCTCCCTGAAGATGGAATAAATGTCTCTATTCGGTGCGAGGAGTGGATAATAATATGAGAAATGTTCGGGGATGCAGGTGTGAACTTGCCATGCCCCATGCATCGTCTGAACTAAACCCGGGCATGGGCAGCCCGGCCCGACGACCCGGCCCGAAAAACCCGGGCCGGGCCGGGCCGGGCTTGACACTCGGCCCGGGCTCGGGCTTTGTTTTGCAGCCCGAGAAGTAGTTTGGGCCGGGCTCGGGCTTCTCTTTTTCTATTTTTCGGGCCGGGCTTTCGGGCTTCGGGCCGGGCTTGCACGTACACGTACTAAAAAAACAGCGTTCGGGCGGGGCTTTCGGGCTTGATTTCGGGCCGGGCTCGGGCTTGATTTCAGGGAGTATTTCGGGCTTCGGGCCGGGCTCGGGCTTGAGAAATGAAGGTCGGGCTTTTACAAGCCCGGCCCGGCCCGACGTTTGCCCAGGTTTAGTCTGAACCACCCACGATCTACTACTACCAAGTCGCACGATCGGGCAGCAACTGAACCAACCAACCAACCGCTGCCCTCTTCCACTCCACGACTCTTCTTCTTCCCCTTCTTTACTCACTCCGTCGTCGACGCCGTCGCCTCCGCCTCATATATTAGCCGCTGCGTGTCGTCTGCCTTCACATTCACACGCACTCGCCCGCGGACAAACCAACACGCGCGCTCCCTCTCCCACGGCAGGCCAGCACTGCAGCAGCGCGAAGAGCCAGCGTCGTCCATGGCGCCTCTGCTCCTGCTCTTCCTCCTCGGCGGCCTCTGCGCCCTCTTCTCCCTCGCCTCCTCCTCCTCGCGCGGCGCCAAGAAGTGCTGCGACGTCGACGGCGAGAAGTCCAAGAGTAACAACCACGGCGAGCAAGAAGCCAAGGCCAGCAAGGCGGAGGAGAGGGAGGAGCGGCCGGCGCCGGCGGACCGGGAGGCAGACCTGGGGATCGTGTTCTCGACGTTCGACCACGACGGCGACGGCTTCATCACGGCGGGGGAGCTGGAGGAGTCGCTGAAGCGGCTGGGCATCGCCGTGTCCGCCGCCGAGGCGGCCGCCATGGTGGCCCGCGTCGACGCCAACAGCGACGGCCTCATCGACATCCACGAGTTCCGCGAGCTCTACGACTCCATCCCCAAGAAGCGCAAGGCCTCGCTGCTCCCCGCCTCCGCCGGCGCGGCCGACGGGGCCGAGGGGGAGGAGGAGGACGACGACGAGGAGGGGGAGGAGATGGACCTCAAGGAGGCGTTCGACGTGTTCGACGGCAACAAGGACGGGCTCATCTCCGCCGAGGAGCTGGGCACCGTGCTGGGCTCCCTCGGCCTGCGCGGCCGCCCCGCCGCCGCCGAGTGCCGCGACATGATACGCCTCGTTGACAGCGACGGCGACGGCATGGTCAACTTCGAGGAGTTCAAGCGCATGATGGCCGTCGTCAAGGCCTAGCCCCACCCCCACTCCACCTTCTTCTTCTCTCCCTCCCCAGAGATCGAATTTTTTGTTCTTGGATTCTGCGAGTCCGAGCGACGTTGTTGGTGATCTGCTCTCGGACTGGATCCGAAGATCAGACGACGAAGAACCCACTAATCAACCAGTTTATTACGGGAGAGGGGGCTGGCCGGAAGCTAAATCAGCTTCCCGCTCCGGCCGTGTGTTCTCCCCTCCCCTGTTCTTGCTGATCAACTTGGTTTCTCATCTCCTCTGCTGTGTTACTGACAAGCACACTATCAAGTATGCATGTAAATATTATTTCTTGGTCGGCTGGTGAAAAATTAAGATCTCACTCAATGCATAAGGATTGCTCTGCTGCTGTGCTTGTGAAATGATCAGTGTTTCTTTGCACTTGTTAATTACTCACTAGTGTAAAAAACGCTCTTATATTATGGGACGAAGGAAGTATGTGCCAATTTTTTGGGACCAAACTTTCAGAGCTTTAGCCATGGACACTTGTCCATGAAGAAAGCCAGAGGGAAAGTACCTATCTGCCTTTGTGTACAAGGTAGGTATTTTGCCATCTTACGCTGTCAAAAGGAAAAATTACATCTGGAGACTGAGTTGTGTACAGACTTTTGTACCATGCGTTCTTGTCTTTTGAACAAATCAATGTGCACATACGTAGTTGAGTGGGTCTTTGGGCGTGCCATTTTTACCCGGTCAGAGTCGCAGGGAAAGAACAAATTCACCAGCGCTAACCTGAGAAAAATCAAAGTAGAAGAAAATCTTGAGATGTAGGCCCATTTTTTCGAGAATGGACTTTTCGAGATGTAGGCCTGTACTTTGTTCTTACTCTGAAGAACGTCTTGACCGGAGAAAATCACATCAAAATAACCACCTGCGTGTGAAAACACCGGCCGTTTTTGTCATCATCATAGTAGTCTGAGACTCTGAGTACAAACTCATCGTCACTGGTCTGCAAAACTGCCGTTGAAGCAAGCACCAGTATCCACAACGGTCTGAAAAGCCAGTGTAAACTGAGTGATCCTCTTCAGAGAGGCCCGTCTCGTCTTGTCTCATTCTGATGTTAGCGAGACCCGTTAAAACTGCAGCCCGAAGTCAATGGTTAGTCCTAGCATTTTTAAAGCGGCACTGAAGATATTGTTTTCCTGAAACCACTGCTCATGCTCACAGATCACTGTCAGTGTTTAATACAGTTTCTTGGATCTGGCTAGGAGGCCTGCAATAACACTAGTAACATTTAAAAGCAGCACTGAAGATTTTCTTACGCTCCAGATCGCTGTCAGTGTTTTTATGAACAACTACACAGAGCTCGGGCCTGCAGCAATTTATCATTTTAATCCGTGGTTGACAAATGGGCCGGTGGCGTATTTTGCAACGAACAATTACTTACACAGACAACAAATGGCAACCAGGAGAAGGAGGATCGGTGATTTGGGGAGCGGGGAAAGAAGCGAGGGAGCATGTGCTGGTCATCAATGGCGGGCAGAAATGATGAGATGGGCGCGGCATCAGCCTCAAGAACCCAGGCGAGATGCGGATTCCCAGACAGGTGGAATGTGGTTCGATCCCATCTATGCTTCCGTCTTGGCGCGTCGACAGAAGAGCAATGGCTGGCCACTTTCTCTAGGCAAGGGGAGGTCATGGTCTCAAAAAGGAACCGTTAATTTTTAACCGACGGGCATGGTTTGGATACTTGGATAATGACCAAAACTTGAGAATGACAGAAATCTAGGCAACAGAAATTCAATAATCCTTTTTTGGTGATAATAATTCCTGCTCGTGAAAGAAGTTCCCACGTCGAGGGCATGGGTTTCTTCCACGTCGAGGTGCCTGACGCCCTCCGCCCTCCCCCTTGCTCCCGGCGGTGGTCTCCGTCGTGGGCGAGGGTGTGGCTTCCCCCGCGATGACCGAGGCCGAGCTCAACCACCTGTGTAGGTGCAAGTGGGACTGACAGGTTGCCCCCACTTCCGCCAACACCTTCACGGTGGTCTTCCCCGACGCCATCAGCATGGGCTACTGCACCCGCAGCGGCAACATCACCTTGGTTCTCAACCAGTTGGTGGTGGACATCTCCGAGCCGAAGTGGGATCCCAAGGCGGTGGCGGTTCTGGACACGGCTTGGATCCTTATCACCGGCCTTCCCGATATTGCCCGGTCTGAGCGTGTTATCCGCAGTTTGTCCAAGATTCTCGGCAAGGTGGTGGTGGTCGACGAGCTCTCCCTCCTCAAGGAGGAGGAGGTCCGGGTGAAGGTGAAATGCCTAGACTCCTCCAAACTCCGCGCCACTGTCCGCGTGTTCTTCAACGACGAGAGCTTCGACCTCAAGATCTGCCCTGAGCCATCGAACCATGTCGGCCGCCCCCGCTCCTCCGATGACGGCCATCAGGGGGGTGGGTCGGACGATGCCGACGACTCTCACCACCGGCGCCCTCGCCCATCTCGCCATGACGACGATCCTAAGGACGACGACGAGATGTCGGAGCACTCCCGCTCACCCTCCCACGAGCCCCCTGCGGGTCAGGGCGGGTCCGGAGCCGGGCACACCCGAGTGACGGCCTATGCCCTCGCAGCTGCCCTCCGGCTGGCCGTCCCCCTCTGGCATCTCCTGCTTCGTCGGCTGAGGTCAGCGACATCTCTAGCGTAGGCCTACTTGTGCTTCCGCCATCGTCACCCCGCTCCCCGTCCGCCGACTCCGCTCCGATCCAGTCTCCACTGAGCCCGCCGCCATCACCTCTTCCTGGCCCGACTCCTTTGGCTCCCATGGACAACGACGGTGGGGGCCTGAACGCCGCGACGCACCTGCTTCTCCACCTGCGGCGGACCCGACTGGGGGCTCCCTGGGCCCCCCGTCCTGCCTCTTCCGCTGGTGGCCCCCAGCGACGCTCTCGCCTCCCCTGCCCCCCTAGCCGTGGTGGTGCCCGACGACGTGACCACCCCCGTCGCTGCGCACCCACCACGGACAGTGGCATACGGCCGACGGCCTTGCTCCACTTCGACGCCGATGACTGCCTCCCGCCGCAGCGCCCGCCTCGATGCGGCCCACCCGTCGGACCTCCCGGCCCCATCCGTCTCCGAGCGTGCTGAGCTTCGGGCGACGACTAGGAACCTCGAGTCAGGTGCGGTCTCCACCCCCCCATAGTTCTTTCGGTTGTTCCTTTTCCGCATTAGAGGCCGTTCCGCTTCGCCACCTCGCTCGGGTGGCCACGGATTCGGCCATCATCTTCAGGGGGGAAGTTGGTCCCCCCTTAGAGCAGATCGCGGCCATTCAGGCCCGCGAGATTTTGGATGGCAAGCTGGCAGAAACTCGGGCGCGCCTCCGCCGCCAACCCATGGAACTGGCCGTCACACCTTCCGTGACGGCGGTCCCGGCAGTGCCCAATGAGTTGATCCATGAGCGCACTCGCTCTCGCACTGCGGCCCTTCGGGCACAGAGCGCCTCCCGTGTCTTGGGGCCAAGCAGCCCCCCGATGGCGGCTTAGATGCGAGTCCTCTTCTGGAACATCCGCGGCTTTGGCCATGACGGCCGCCGCCGCCAACTCATCGAGTACATGCGTGACGAGCACATCGACATCATTGCCATCCAGGAAACCATGCGCACGGAGTTCTCCCTCCCTGAGCTCGATTGCCTTAGCCCCCACCTATTCGGCTGGCATTGGCTCCCTTCTAGTGGGACCATGGTGTACTCGGGTGGCATCCTTTTAGGTGTGAAGGATGCCACCTTTGAGGTGGGCGGAATGGACCGGGGCGATTTCTTCGTCGGTATGGAGATCTTTGAACGGGCGCTCAACTTCAAATGGGAGGTCATGATCGTGTACGTACCGGCGGACCACCGCTGCTCCCCGGCCTTCCTCGCTGAGCTGCAGCAGAAGATCTTCGCTTCCCTCCTTCCTGTAGTCGTGGGATTAGACTTTAACCTTATCTGCTCCCCGGATGAGAAGAGCAACGACCGGATCAACCTTCCCCGGATGCAGATGTTCAACGACTGCATCGCGGAGCTAGGCCTCCGCGAGCTTGAGCGGACAGGTGCTAGGTTCACCTGGACTAATCGTCAGGCGGACCCAACATGATCCATCCTGGATCGCGTCCTAGTTTCTCTGGAATGGGAGCTTAGATGCCCCCTGACCTCGCTTCGGGCGATCACCCAGATCGGTTCTGACCACGTGCCCCTACTCCTCTCCACCACCGACGACCGGCCTCTGGTTCCGCTGCGTTTCCGGTTTGAGCTCTTCTGGCTCAACCAGGCGGGCTTCCTCGAGGCGGTTGCGGCTAAGTGGATCTCCGCGCGCGCCTCTCCTCACTGCTCCATGACCGTTGTTGACTCGTGGCAATTTTGCGCCAAGCTCGCCCGCCAATTTATAAAGGGTTGGGGCGTGAACCTTGGGCGAGACCTTCGCGAGTGCAAAAAAGCCCTCCTGTCGGCCATCCAGACCCTGGACACCCGCGCGGACACTTCCGGTATATCCCCTGACGAGTGGATGCTGCGATATGATCTCGAGGATCAGCTCTCGATCATCTACACGGACAAAGAGGCTTACTGGAGGCTCCGGGGTACCCAAAGATGGATGCTCTGTGGAGACGCCAATACGACGTACTTCCAGGCGATCGCGAATGGGTGACGTAGACGGAATTCCATCAATTGCCTGTGGGATGGAGATTCCCAACTTGCCCGCCCCTCGGATATTCGTGTCCATGTATACGACTTTTGTAAAGACCTTTTCCCCCACCCCTCGGGGTGGGGTCGCACTGGCCCCGACACTTGGTCGGGCCGCCAGCTAGTGACTGCCGAGGCTAATGCCACTTTGGTGGCGCCTTTCTCGGAGGACGAGATCCTCGCGGCCATAAAGGGTATGAACCCTTCCTCGGCTCCAGGACCGGATGGACTGCCAGTGATGTTTTTCAAAACATTCTGGCAAACCATCAAGCCGGAGGTCATGGCCCTCTTCGACGAATTCTTCTCGAGGACCATGGACCTTGGGCGCCTGAACTAT